ATGGGGAAAATGGGGGGGGGGGGGGAAAAAAAGAAATAAAAGCACGAAGGCGTATTTCGCTGCCGGCATCTCGGCGCCCTCGCATGTGACACTTCTCTTGGGGGACGCGGCGTCCTATGCCTCTCTCTTACCGTTTCTTTCCCTTCCGTTTTCTCGCGTCTCTGGACGTCTTCGACAAGAAGCGACCGCGCGAAAATGAAGAGATGCAAATGAGAAAGTATCTTAGTTAGGATCGGGGACGACATTACTCCTCGCGAAGGATATTTTTATTTATTTTATAGCGAGATATAAAGATTATCGCGAAATAAAGGTGTTTTGAAACAGAAAATTATGACTCTGTGGCAAAATTTTAAACAAAATACATCTACTTTGTTTGCATGTCGTAGATAACATTGCGAGTACAGCGAGTATCATCGATTATCGGTGACATATTTTTTGTGGATTAGTAAAAATTGACTATATAATTAGATACAAATGTCAAAAATGATTCTACATAAAACAGTGTCATGCAGAGTAATCATGCTTATAAATGAATCAGTCATGCTTTCCGTTGCTCGCCTTTATACGAATTGGAATCGTCTTCTGAAATGATGGATATTAACTGACTGAAATCTTACACTGTCCGACTGTCATTGTTCTAGTAAATGAAGATTGATTCATGAAAACTAACTACTAAGCAACCCATTAAATAGTAAAATTGGAAACATTAAAAGAACAATCTTTCAAAATTGTCCATTTTACAAGCAGAATCCAATTTGCAACAATACCACCGTAAAATACTAAATAATATTAAAATGAGATGGCAGAAGCTGATTGGAACGTAATACTGTTTTCAACATTTCATCGCAGTATTTCGTTCAAGCAATTATTAATTCCAAAGGGATAGTGCACGATCTTTATTACTCGCGATCTCGCGTGACTAGTTAACGAAAATGTTATCATAGCCGAAATTGTTTGCATTTCCGGGTAAATCGATCGCGGCGCGACGAAGCGAGTAGAAAAAGCGCAGCCAAGGAGAAGAAAGATTTTTAAGACGTACCAGAAAGTGCTTGTGTAAGTAAGGGCGTGTTGTTGTTTGGGGTGAGCTGTCCATTGGTTAGATCCACTGAAACATAAAACTTCAGTCACAACTGCGCCACTCTTGCAATGCGTTTATGTGCTTTCGCTATATTCATTTCCGTCGACTATCACTCGACAATATAGTCTGGAAACTAATATATTGAAAAAAAAAAAAATAAACAAATAAATGAAAAAATAGAACGAGAACAGAAATATGGTGATGACGCGCCAGATGGCTGACTGAAAGGACAACAGACGTAGAACAGTGATTTTCCCGAATTTGTGTTGCTTTGTCAATCGTCTCTCTTGTTTTCTCGAGTTTCGTCCGAGGATATCGACGGTCCTCGAGTATGCGTGCCTTCTGCCTCTCGTCTTCAATACTGAAGTGTGAAAAATAGCTCTTAAACACTCATATAGATCTTCTATCGCGGAAAATTACATTCGATGGATGAGTTCACGCGTGTTGAAACACGTTGAAAGGAAACACAACGAAAATAACGGAAGCGCTATACGTCGCCGAAAAGTGTGACAGGTGTTTCCTCTAGGCACTTAGAAAGCTTTCGCTCGTATCGACGGTATCAGCTTTCTCCATCGAGCGAGGATGCTCGAAACCGCGTTGGCGTTTACTGCCACGACTACGGTTTCGATTCGGATGCATCGACTGGCTGTGGCAATAATGGAACCTACGAGTATCGATCGCTGTCGAAACTACGGTACGGTAGGATTCCCTAGAGTAGCACTCGATGCATCGAAATGCACTTTGGTATTAATATGCATTTTCCGTACGCAACAGACGAAGGCAGAAACGTACAAAACGCGATAAACGAGGCGGGACGATTTGAGAAGAATCCTCGAAGAATGGTTATACTTTGAAAGCTCGCAAAGATGGGATTTCTGTTTTAGATAGAGAAAGAAAGAAAGAGAATGGGAGAGAGAAAGAGAAAGATCGATGATGGCGGGAAAAAGTACGCGAGCATGTGTGTGCGTGCGCGTGTGAGAGATAGACAGACGAAGAAAGAGGTATTTTGGTGTGTATTTCGAGCAAAGTGAATGTCGACTTCATACATTTCTTCCGGAGTGCATTGCGTTGGACGTGTTGCATCGGCGCCTCCGTATACGCGCGGCCTGCATTCTCACTTCCTGTTCCGTGGTAGTACACCGCCGGCACTCCTGACATTAATAAAGAACAACAAAAAGGCTGAGAATGATGAGAAACAAAAACGGGGACGGGGAGTATGATCTGTAATGCGAATTGTTACCGGGGCAAAAAGGAGACGTGGATTTATATGTTAACGTACTGCGTGAATTAATACACTCCAAGATATGTGCAGATACTTCATAGTTCTATCTCAACGCGCTTAATCTTGTGTAAATGCTATATCGTGATGTATATAATGTAGTTAATATTTCAAATTCAAATAATGCCATACATAAATTGTTTACACAATTTAGGAAATTATTTCTTACATTCCTTATATTATTTTTTATTCTCTAATGTCATATCATTTTTATCCCGATTATACACGGGAAAAAAAATGCTGTTGCTTCAATTAAAGTCTACGTCACGGGCTGCCAATAACCATGCGTAGTTCATTCAATGATATTTTTATTGAACCAAATATCTGAATTATTAAAAAAACTATCCAGATATTTGGTCCAATAAAAATATCATTGAATGAACTATGTATGTTTATTGGTAGCCCGTAACGTAGACTTTAATTGAAGCAACAGCATTTTTTTTTTCCGTGTACTGTTTATATTTAACCTTTATTTTCTATTTCATTAATAATTTTATTTATTAGTTTATTCTGTATATACACATATACATTTTAACTAACATTTATTAGAAAAATTAACTAAACCTTGTTTATTTTTTAATTCGATTATCTGCATCTTATTCGCGACAAATTGTTATTGTTGCTTACATATTACTAGATGCTGCTCCTTTTTAGTTGTATTGTTAATAGTTTAATTAGATTATAATCTTTAAAATGAATATAATCGTCACGCATTACATGAACATTTTGAGAAAAATTAAAAAAGAAAATTACATTAAAGGATTAAATAAAATGTTTAATATCAACATATGAGTGAAAAATAATCTCTCGATTTAGTAGATATTATATACGTCATAGTATATTATAGATGCGGGAAGATTGTGGGGAAAAAACTGGAATGCAAATAAAATGCAATAGAAATGACTAGCAATAAAAGCAGAATAAAAGCTTATATGTTTTCATATCTATGGGCGATCATGGCGTGAAATGTTAAAGATTAATTTCTCAGCGTAATAAAGCGTTCTTTTTCTAGTAGCAAGATATAGATATCTCAGAAGTCGCGAATTTTAAACAAATCACAAATATTAAATCCAAAATAAGAATAATCGTGATTATGGACAGTATTTGTAAGAAATGCAAAGCGCAAAATGTAATCGCAATATTCCCACAATTCTAAATTAAGAAATAACACGTTTAATATATTAGTAATTTTTGAGAAACTTCATGAATATATTTACAAACACTGCTTACGTAAAAATTTTTTATTTAAATCAGATTTTTTTAAGCTCTCAAAAATCTTGTCACTTCTTGAATAGATATTCTCTAATTTATTTAAACTGTGTAAATTATACAACGAATTAAATCGTGGATGTATTGTTATTTCGAAGCAATTTAAAATATCTAAATATCTAGAAACCTCGAGTCAAAAAAAAGATAGAAAGAGAGAAAGTGCTGGACAGTTTCTATTTTGAAAAAATTGTACTTTATGAAGCTCGAAATAATTTATATATATACATATTGTGTAGCTACATATTAAACACTCTTGAAATCTATAATCATAAAATGCAAATAAATCAAAATTTGTAAAAAGTGCAAAGAATGCATTTCCTCCTCTCGATATTATACACAATTATTATATTCAATAAAATTTTAATGTTACTAGTTAAGTCATATAGAAACAAAACGAAAAAAATTTATCATCTTTACTCGAGGCAACTCAACAAATTTTAGGACAAGTATAATCTTAGTATATATAAATTATATTGTACATAAGCGAGTATGCGAATTATATTTACAATATACCGTGAATAATTTGAGAATGGAATCGGCAATATTATTGTTAAAGATCAAAACGCGTTTTTGATGTACCGTTAATATGAGGGAACGGAATGTCTATACTGTCGCTTCTATACTGTCACAACAGCGTGTTTTCATGGAGAAGCCTCGTTTTGGCCGCGCAACCGGCACTGATAACGCGATTGCGAGAGAGGGTGAATGGACCATAAATCGTAGATCGACGTGATTTGTATGGGGTATCACGACGCTTAATGGTGTGGCTTGTCTATATCGACGTGTTCTGACCGGAAGTTCCAAACTGCTATAGTTAAAGGGGAAACACTCTATAGATCTGACCGCCCTAACTTGACGATTTACATTGCATTATATGAATGAATGAATCGTGTCTAGTGGGAATTGCATAAATAAAGAAGCTAAATATGGACGCTTTTATTAAATAATAATAAAAGAGAAATGAAATAATAATATATGGAAGAATTGTATTCCATAGAAGCATGCATTGGATTTCAACTTGAATATCGAATTGGAATAATGAAAATTATCTACGTAACTTAAATGTATTCTCAAGAGTACACAATTTCAACTTAATAATTGTTTTTTGAATATATTAAAATATTTTCTTTCTTTCGTAATTACACACACACCAGGATTGGCATTTTTTGATTAAAAACGGGTAATGACGAGAAAGAGAAAAAATATAATAATAATACTTTTTTATATAAGAGAAAGAAAAAGAGAGTGTGTCGTGCACGGCCTCGGATTGGACAGGTTGACGAATGAAACGGAAATCCTTGCCAGCGGGCGTTTATCGGAAGTTTCATAAAAAGAAAGGGGCCGCACGTCCACGTCCAGCCATCGAAACGGGTGCGGCTTCCGGATTTCGCGACAACCGACGGCTGCACCGATAGCTCTTGGGGTCGTATCTCGATCCGACCAAAAATAGCGATACACATACGTACAAACACACAGATATTCCCATATGTACAGCTGGGCCAGATATATATATACAAGGTGCTTCGAAAATCGCGTTTTCTGAATTATAGATATAATATATTAACCAAATAAAAAAGATATTACAAGAATACTCCATATATAATATTATAATATAAATTAGACAAATATTAATGTGTGTGTGTGTGTGTCATTTTAATGTCAAAATATGTACTTGTATACATTATAAATAATTGAACATATTAAAAATGGCAATTTAAATTGGTGTAGATGAAATTTTATTTTGCAAGTAAGCTTTAAGTAAACTGCATCTTAAAACAAAAAATCTGTGAAAAAAATAGACAAATCCCAAATTCTTTAAAAATTTTCTAACTGTAATAAAAGCATACAACTTCCGAAGCGTCTCTATATATATATATATAATGTACACATACTAAAGTCTGTCCGTAGAAATCCTTATTGCCCGGGTTTGGCCGTTCATCGAAACGACGGACGCGTAGGGATCTAGGCCAAGAGTTCATCTATTTCGAGTGTATCTCCAGCTGACGTAAACGCGATCGAGACTTTAGATAAGGGTTTCGCACCGCGAAATCTACCCAGGGGACTCCGAATAGTGTGAGTTTTGAGTTCCCAAATTCTGGCATAGAATCACTCTCTCAACTTAGAATTCGTCGGAGGACGAGGGATGAATCAAAGATTACCGAGAAGAATTATCCGACATGTAAAGGACGTGCCAATATGTCTATTACGCGATAATTCCGTCCGACAATTGGTTCTAGGTCGAAATCAAAATCTGGATTTCTCTCGAGATAATTTATATTTCGATATCGTCGCTTTATAATGTGAAGGACTCTAGCGAGAAATTGCACGTGAAACTCTGCGAAAGTAGAAATTAATAGCAAGTTCTTGCTATCTTTAGAAGATATATTCTTTATATTCCATATATTTGATATATCCGTATACTCTCTTTCTCTCTCTCCCTTTCTCTTTCTCTCTCTCTTTCTCTTGAGAAAATGATATTGATCGTTTTGTAAATAGCTCGTATTACTATAAGAGCTTTATTATTAGAAATGTTTTCTTTTCTTCGATTATTTCTACCAAATCTACTGATGATTGCAAAAAATTAGAACAAAAATACCTACTTTTTATTGCGTCACCATTTTAAAGATTTTCATCTAATCAAGAAAAGAGAGCCGAAAAATACCAACGATGATTAATTAAATAAATGCTATTCAATCCATCTCCTATAGATGTGTAGAATTCTATTCTAGAATTCTTGATTGAAAATAGATGATATGCGTGTATAAAAAAAATAAACGTAAGTTAAGTGGATATATTTAAGTATTCGATATTATTTTATAATGCAGATTTCTGATATGATGATAGGATTATGCAAGAATCCAAGAATATACATTGCAACATTAGTGTTCTTCATTAAATTATGACAAAAATTTTTGGAATGTCAAAGTCCCTGAAAGCATTTTATTCATATCCCGGTTTATATAAAAAACGCAAGTATAGAAGAGAATGCTGTGTGAGAAGAATCTTATAAATGATTTCCGTATGCATAATAGTGTCGATTTGCATCATAACATATTGAAGCGAATAGATCTTGATCACTCTCATGACGAGAAGCTGCTATTTTCCCATAATAAAAGAGAGCGAAGTGCATAGATACTTTTGACGAAGCAACACATCGAACGAGTCATTGTTGTTAATAAATCTTGTTAATAAGCATCGTACAGTTAAAAATGGTGGTCATAGTGAGCCGTTAATTCGCGTATCCATGCTCGGCAATGACGGAATTATTAAATAATATTGTGAGTAAAATAAATTATAAAAAATATTTTCGGGGCGGCAGAATCGTTAGCATGTCCTAAACTACACACATGTGTTAAGGCTATATGCCGGCAATAATCGTAATTTATATATACATATTGTAACCAGATATATAAACATATACAGATATCATTGTGACAGATCAAAGTTTCTAAACTACGTACTCATTAGTATATATCACGCTGCTAACTCTAATTAGCGTTTTAATACTAGCGGTCAAATAAACGACAAGAAATAATGATGTTGAGATAATCAAATTGACAGACGGACACACGACACACAAAGAAGATAATCACTCTCATTCTA